GAAATCAATGTAACCTGAACAATCAAAACCATTTTTCCAAAGGGAAAAGATGACATACCCACACTGTTTAGGCCACAAAGAAGTTGTAGTACATTTGAACAAGAATGTTGTACGAGCGAAAGAGAAACCCACAAATGAAAATTCCTTAAGGAATTCAGTTACCTGTATGAGAAGGAGATTTCACCTGCTTAATGCAATTCATGATGACAACTATTACAATGCCAAATTGTCTTCATGGCATTCTCAGGTGCACTTTGACAGAAGCATAGAAAAATGAGCACAGTAAAGAGAATATGATGCCCTTATAAAGAAAGAAACTATACCATCCAACGCTAGGCACACTTCTGGCTCTTAATGAAATCCCCAAGTGCTTTACACACAACTTGAGTCTTGTAGGTACTCAAAAATATATAAATAAATACGTTTGTTTGGAAAGGACAGAATATTAAAATGTCAGGACATGGAAGATGTGCTTTGCTAAAACTGCTAAAATAAATATCATACTATAACCTATCTTCACACCTAGTATTACCAAGTTCTCTCCTAAGTATGTTTCAAAACCTTTATCTTTCCCCATCCCTATTCCTCTAAATTCCAACCACTATTATAGGTAGGCACTTCCCCACACAAACACAAGAAACAGCCAAGGATCTGTTGATCTGGGCTTGCCTTTGATCTTTTCCTCTTTTGACCACAGGCTTCTCCAAATGTGAGTCTGATCTTGTCACATGCACATATATATCCCCCACACAAGCCACATTAAACCATTTCAGTCGTTCTAATTCCTCTCAGGATCAAGACAAAAACTCTCATTATGGCTACCATATCCCACATAGTGTCTGGTTTCCATCTATCCTATATTGTCGTCTTTTAGAAGACTCCAGCCAAGCCAGGCTGCTCTCGGATTCTCTAAAACTCTGTATTTCCTAGGCTGTGGGGTCTTGGTGTTTTCTGTCTCCTTTGGATTCTCTCTCCTTTTCCTGCTTCCTTTTAGTAATTACGTATCTTTCAGATCTCCACTCAAACATGTCTTCAACGAGCTTTCCTCAGCATCCATGTCTAGATGACTCCATCTATTATATATTTGTAAATCACCATGAACCTCTCCTTGCAGGACTAAACAATTCATTGTTTTATGTTCATTTATGATTCTTTGGTTCATTTATGAACATAGAACATTGTTCTATGTTCATTTATGATTCATTTAAATTTTTCTGCTCTTTATTACACTGGATGTTCTATAACAGTAGAGATCATGTCTTCAACTTTCATACACAAAAGTAATCCATTACCTAGCAAAATGCTTGACTTTATAGTTGGTTCTCAATAAATATTTGTGTGATCCATGGATAAATTAAGAATCAGTGACTAAAGGGTATCCCATATGTCTGTTGGTTCCATAGTTCCAGCCTTGGGATTTTTTGTTATTGTTTTCTTTGTAACCTATGGAAGATTCTCTCTTACTTATCAAAGGATGTATCTTTAACCAAGTTGGTAACAACATGTAACAAGTCAGACCAAACATTTGTTGGAACCAAAAGTCCAAAGTAAGGAACTCCCAAGATGAGATCCACAAATTTCTAGATCCCTGTTAACTTTTTCAGACTCTGAGGCTAAAACAACTGGTTTCAAAATGACCACACTGGGATATTATTTCTTAAAGTCCAGGAAACAAAATGTAAAAGTACAAGTCAGAAGGCAGGATAACATTGCTGGAAACAATTGGTATTTTTGTGGTGCTACACTAAGAAAATTCACTACTGAGAACATTTGATCAGCCAATGTTTGCTGAGTACTCCTCTTGTGATGTGCAGTCCCAGGCACAGACAGAAAGGTCCCAAAGGTATTTTTCTCTCCTTTTAATAAAGTGCTCTTTCTTAGTCTCATGATCCCTACATAATAGCTACCAGAATGCATGGATCAGCTAAGAAGTAACTCAGCTGATTTCGTTAATTTCTAAAAACTACCAAATACCAAATATTTATCTCACTAGAGATTGCATACAAAACAAAGAGAGAAAGAGACTCAGGAGTTTACTCTGTACAAAAATATTGTAAGACAGTCAAGTTGGTGTTACTATTTCACAGTTGTATGCAGGAAGAGTCCAGGGCTAGGTCACAGAGCTGCTAAGTGGTCCAAACAGAATTCACCTTTAACTCAATCTCCCATGACTCCTACAATCCACACCTCTCTTTTAAAAATGAGAAAATTACACCAACCAGCTTTTTCAGTGTAGCATATTAAGTACTTTAAGCCTGATTGAAAATAAGTATAGATACATAAAAGTGATCCACCATTCAGTTTTTTCCACTTGAGATTTTTTCATTAATTCTTTTGTACAGGAAGTTTTAAGCAGGTCCTATACAATTTCATTCCGTACCAACACAAAGGATGAGATATCTTCAGAGTTCCAGGCACGTTCCTTCTATTTCCCTCACACAGAGGTTTGCTTTTAATTTTTTTTCCTGTTTCATTCAAAAAGCAATTCCACTACCAACCTGAGGTTAGCTACATTAATCTAATGTCAACTCCATTATTGTTAATTATTTTATGGTGGCTATATTTTAACAGAAGGGGTACAAAGATCCCTCATGTCATTTGATAGCCCACCAAGAATTATATTGAAATAACTACATTGATTTCCAGATCTCAGCAAGCAACTAGGACATAATTAAACTTTTATCTCTGCAAATTTTGCTGTATCTCTCTTTTTTTTTCTTAACCTGGTTACCCATTGTTAGGAAGACTAATCTTATTTTACTTCTCAGGTGGGCCTAAAATTTCATTCAATGTTTAAGAAATAAATTAAAATGAAAGACCTGTAATGTCTGGACATTTCTCAAATAAAAACTTCCATTGGCATATTTTCTCTGGGTTCATCTTTTTTCCCTATTTCTTATTTGACTTTAATAAAGCTATACTCTATTGAAGTTAAATAAAAGTGTTCCTCTGAGCACTTGGAGTTAAATTAAAACAGCTATAAATCTGAAGAAGCAGCCATTTAAACATTCTGCTTGACCTAACTTAGAAGAGATAACCTGTAGCTATAGAGGAAGCTGGCTCTGCTGGGACCACTGTGTAAAGCCTTCTCCCAGCTCCCAGTCCACCCCTCCCTCCCCTCCCAGAGCATAACTGTCATTCAGCTTGCTCCTTCCTCACTCCTTGCTACAGGACTTAAATCTGATGAGAAGGAAACTTTCTCCTGACTCCTAGAAATATATTCTGCCATGGTTTAAAAAAATACAAGTGAAGACAGAGTAGGACGAAGCAGGAAGAAGAGAATACACACCTAGGCCAAACACAAATTCTAATTCACATTCCCATTAATTACCTATTTCATGCTGACCAAGTCTTTCTATTCTCTACATCTTGGTTTTCTTACCTGAAAATGTAAGGCCAGGACAAGGGTGGAGTAAGGCATTTACCTCTGAGGCAAAATTTATATGGATATAAAAACATTAAAATTGATGCAAAAATACAGTGTACAATGTACCAAATTTTAAAATAGGATCAGTCTCAGAATGGTGATTTGCCTTTGGTCTTGATATGGGTCTACTCAGATCTGATTTAGATCTATTCCCTTCCAGCATCCTGTGACTTGGGTTCTAGCATCAGCTGGCCACCCTGGGTGTGGCAGTCCTCCCTGCTCTCCAAAACCTTCACTGTGAGCCCCAACCTGGACCAGTCCCATTGGAATCTTCTCACGGTGAGCCATGAAAGTGGCTGATGGATGCCTTCCTTTTATCTTTCCTATTTTCCCAACCAGACAATGACTTCATTCTGCTTCATATCAGGGACTCTGTACTTGATCAAGATTGAAACTGCAATCCCTTTTCCCTAAGAGCTTTAGGAGGGCACAGATTTCTACCGAGCTGCCCCATGCCACCCCATACCCTGACATGCATCAACTTGAATAAGCTGAAGCAGCAGATGGACTCCTGTTGCACAAGGGACATTTTCAAAGGTTTTCTGAAGCCATTCCTAACCTATCAGTAAGATAAGAAGAGCATTCTGTGCTCGCTGACTCAGGGAAGGGGTGACCCAGCACAGAAGGGTGAAAGACAGGAGAGGGAAGGGAAGGCTTCTAAGGCAAGCTCTTACTCCTCCTTTTATTCCTGGGTGGGGACAACTGTAAGATAATTCAAAGCAAGTAAATCCACCTCATAGAGACCCTCTATGCCCCAAGGTGACACCAGAAAGGCCCAAGGTCCTTAGAATGTCCCCAAGCTGTCAAAAAGAGCGGTGAAATGGTCCCCATGTTCCCATAGGTCTCAAACTTCAACACACAGTGGTATGCACTGCTTTTCCCTCATCTACTCCCACTAAAACCATCTACACAGCACACTGTGAAACAGGAGTCCAAACTCACCCACTGAGGGTGCACAGGCGGATGATGAGGTGAGCATAAGAGGTGGAACCTCCTGTGAGGAGGCTGAGGTCCTATCAGCCCCCCATCTTACATCCAGGCCATTGAGCCTTTGCTGTTCTCCTACAGAGAAGGCAATATTCATAAATCTGAGGATGTGACCTTTTTTCAGAAACTATAGTTTTGTAGATAATCTGATCTGTTCCCTCTGTTGCTCCATCATGTCTTGTGATTTATAAGGACCTCAATGTTCTTCTTTCATATTTAAAAACCCGTATGCAAATCATGCCAGCAGCACAGCAAAGCAAAGTTTTTGTAATAATGCTCGGTATTACTCACACACAAAAAATTCCATTTAAATCTCATTAAGCTTGTGACATAAATCCAAACAAACTAGAAAATGCCCCGTTAAGGTAGAAAAGTGACATATGTCTTCCAGTCCCCTGGTAGAACGGGAAGAATTAAAAAAAAAAAGATTAAGGCTCTTCCTATTTGGAGCAGTGCGGCAACGGACACATATGTTATGCTTCTGCCTTTAACTATTGGTGGCCTTCCTGCTTTTATCTCAATAGCATTTAAATGAAGTATTTGTCAGCAACTATTTCTGGTAATGTGACACATGTGATTCAGTGACGCTGCGAGCCGCGTTTGCGGAAACAGAGCAGTATCCTGGGAAAATCATAAAAGGTCTGTCGGCTAACAGCATTTTTTTGATTTCCCTCTAGGCATTTCTTGGGGTTCAAGATATAATTTATCTGTCATGTAGTATTAACAATATACCTTTCAGGGACTTAAAGATTAGCAAGGCCCTGAACTGCCAAACACTGAATGTCCTTCATGTCGTCATGGCTCATCTCTAATCCAGTTTTTCCTTTAAGACAATTATAATAATATCAGTGGGTTACACAGGCTCTACAATTGTACCCTACATTCTTTATGACCGTTGCTAATTGTCAATTAGTCTAAATTTTAATTCTGTGTTGTGTTTAGGATAGAGATTTGCGGAGCTGGGGAGGAGCAGTTTTGCCTTTTGCAATTGCAAATCTGAGTTTAATCTCCCCTCTTGATGTGGAGAAGCACAAATACAGACTGGTGTTGTGAATGACAGCATTACAATATCATAATCATTTATGTATTTTCCTCACAGAAGAAAATGGATTTTGTCACGGCTTTCAGCAGCTGCAGGACTCCCTTCAGAAGGCTTAATAAGAGTGCTTTACAAAGCCTTTGCTCCTGACAATGAAATGAAGTCATCATCCGGGGTCCCCAGCCTTCTAGCCACTCCCTTTGAGCCCTCTGGGACCCCACCAGAAAAAAAAATGTGTTTGTTTCACAGTTCTGGGCTCAGCTCTCCTCTGTGGTTGTCAAGAATAATGAGTGCTCATGGTTCTTCATCTCTATCCGTTTTAGAGACAGAGAAAGAGACAAGAGACACAGAGAGACACATGGAGAGAGTGACTAGGTTAGGATATATACCAAAGGCCAGAGTCCAACTTGTCCACTACCAGGGGACATCTAAACCCTGTTCACTTCATCTTAGCTCAAAAGAGGCTTCCCAGGTAGCCGTCTGCACTTCCTTCGCCACTTCCAGCCCACTCCTGTGATTAGCATCACAACATCGTGCCTGGTCCCTACACCATACTTCAGATGGCCATGGTGAAGGCAGAACAGAGGAGTGGCCACCTGTGCCGCCACTCTGACTGGGTTTGGATCTCAGCTCTGCTATTCCTGAGCAGCATGTGCAAGGCCCTTACCTTTCTGTGGCCTACTTTCCTCATCTGCATAATAATGAGTCATGCATGTAAGATGTATTTTAAGAGTGCTCAGCCCATAGAAATGATTCAGTAAGTATTTTGTAATATTTTCTATACCTAATAATCTCTCACTACCATTAGACTGAAAACCAGCGATATTGAAACTTCATTCTGCTGGCCTACAACACATCACAGTGCCTGAATGAATAACTATTGATGGTTAAATATATATCAGTAACTGAAGGCATTGTTTTTTTACTTTTTTCGGTACTAGGAATTGAACTCAGGATCTTGCGCTTGCCAGGCAGGCGCTTATGCCACTGAGCTATCTCCCCAGCCCATTTTTCTTTCTTTCTTTCTTTCTTTCTTTTTTTTTTATTTTTTATTTTTTGCTGAAGACATTCTTATAGTTAACAAAAGTACATACTTTCAGCTGTACCAGTACGATACTTTCTTTTTTGCAATTAAAAAAAAATCTTATTGAAGGAAAATTAACATAAAAACTGCACATAAAGTATGTAGTATGATGTTTTGACTAATGTGTACATCCACAAGACCGGCACCACATCAAGAGAGTGAACCTTTTATAATTCTTCCTCCTGCCCCTCTCCAGGCAACGGCTGATTTGCTTTCTGTTACTACGGATTTGTTTACATTATCTGGACTTCTATGTAAATGAACTCACGCAGTGTGTACTCTTTTTGTCTGGCTCCTTTCACTCAGCATATTTATTTTGGCATTCATTCCTGTTGTTACGCGCAGCAAAATTTTGCTGAGTGGTTATCGTATTATAGGGACACACCATAATTTCTTTGCTCTTTTGCCTGTTGGCAGACATTTGAGTTGTTTGCAGAATTTCACTGTTACAGAAGAACCTATTTTCTTAACGGGTGTTCAAGCCTTGGGATGGATATATGCTTTCTTTTCTCCTAGGCATATATATCTGACAATAAAACCAGGTGTGGGTTTAAATTTTAACTAACTACTAGACTACCTTCCAAGGTGATTGTAACATCTGACATTCCTATCAGCATCATTCAGAGTTCCAGTTCCTCCGCATCCTTCTTAATACCTGATATGGCTATTTAATTTTTCATTTTAATAGATATAAAGTTGTATCTCACTATACCTTTTGTTTGCATTTTTTTGATGGATAATGATATTGGCCAGTTTTTGTGTGTTTATTTGCCATCCATATATCTTCTGCAATAAATTGTTTGTACCTTTGGCCAAATTTTTAAAAATTGGATGAATCTCTTACTGTCAAATTTCAAGAGTTCTTTGTATAGCCCTTGAATAGGTTCTTTATCAGAAAGTTGTTTTGTAAATATTTGTAACTATGAGGCTTGTCTTTTTATACTTTTATGAAAAAGCCAAAATATTTTGATAAAACTTAGCTTATAAATCAGTTTTTAATGGGCCACACTTTTGGTAACATATCTAAGAAAATTTTGACTAACTCAAAATCACAAAGACTTCCTCTTATGTCATTTTCTAGATGGTTTACAGTTTGGAGTTTTATGTATTTTATTTTAAAGAATTTCTATTTGTATGTCTTCAAATTCATCTATCTTGGTTTCTCATTATTCTACTATTAAACTATTATTATATAATGTAAAGATAAAATATCAATAGTTTCAGAAATGTAATAACCTATGGTTTGGATATGGCTTGAGGGTGTCCCCCAAAACATTTATATGTTGGAAGGTTGGACTTCAAGCTTGGTAAGAGGGCATGAGACCTCTAAGCGGGCCTAGTGGAAAACCATTACTGACCCCCCGGAATTCCACTCTGTTTTCCTGTCTTGCAATGTGATTCTCCTTCTCACGTGTATTTCCTTTACCCTGATGCCATCCCAGGGGACTCTCTCTGAAGCCAGTGCTATGCTATTTTAAGTTCTACCCTCCAAGACTGTAAGCTAAATAAGCCATCATAAATAACAGCAAACCTCAGAACACAGAATAGTAACAGAAAACAGACTATTACATGAATAATACAGTTTTACTTTCTATACGCTTGTGTTTAAGACACTCTCACCAGACTTGGAATCTTGGGAACTGTGCCAATACAAGGGGAAAGTAGTAGAAAATTCTATGTTAAGCCTTGTTCAGAAGACATAGCTGATGCATAGCTCAGGAGAAGAGGAGAGAAGAATGGAGGTTACTGGAAGATAGAGGAAAGGGGGCAGGAAAGTGCTAATAGGTTATTAGATATTTGATTATATGAAAGATATTATAGTTACACATTTGACAAGTTCTCATCTCATTGGAAAGGTTTAAAGAAATACATAAAAATAAGCAAATAAAATATTATAGAATTATTAACTTCAAGGAAAGCATAAAGTTGTGTAAGAAAGGAAATCTAATAATACTATGCTACATGGCTTGCATATGCAATAAATTTACCAGCTCATAAGTAAAGATTGTCAATTATCCAAAAATATAACTCATCGGGAGAATGAGTGAAAAAGAAGTTGTAGGAAAGCTAATTCCTCCAGTACTATTAGAGAACAATGAGGATTATTGTCTAAGTTTAAATTAAATTCAACACCTTAAGAATAATCCTTAGAAATATGGAAGTAAACACCTGAGGCTAACAGAAGGATCTGAAGTGCTTGCTTCTGGAGCATAGGAGGGTAGGAAGTGGGTGTACACTGGAAGGGTTAAACCAAGGGACTTCTCATAGGGTAGAGAAGCAAATAAATGTGAAATGTTTTATTTTTAAATTATTTTCTTATATTATTTTGATGATTTTGAAAAGAATTTTAAATGATTAATTCAAATGTTTGCTCTTTAACTTCTTATCATAAGTGGTCTTCTAAATGGAGCCATTGGCTAAAGTAAATTAGCAGGACAAGGGGGCCAACCAGGCAGAAAGCAATCAAGCGGCTTCTTCTCACACATTACATCTCCTCTCTTTGCCCTCTTTAACTTCTATTCCCATTTTTGAGTCCCTTAAATTTCACTCTAATCTTGAAATAGCCATTGCTTTCAAAGGGAAAGGTAGGCCTTGGACTGGATTAAATGCAAGAGACTAAAAGTTATGGATTCTCTCAAACTGCAGCCACCGTACAATCTAAGAAGCGGTAGCATTCAGCAAGAAGCCTGGGCCTCTACAAGCACAGTTCTCTTTGGGCCCTTGTGTGATAGTGACAGTGACATCCGTGTGGTCTTCTCTAGCCACTCTGTTCAGGGAAGCGGGTGGTGTTGGTAAAAACAGCCCAGCTCAGACAATGCAGCAGCTGCCTTGACTAAGAATAGAATCCCGTGTTTGATTTGAATTAGCCATTTGAAACAAGAGCAAAACAGCTCTGAAAGCAGCACCATCTGTTTTCCTTTAAGGCTGGGTCATAAATAACAAGATGAAAATACATTTCCTGCTCTGGATTTGTGACCTGAACTGCCTTCCACTGCGTTGTCACTGACCACTTCTGCCGTAAACACATGTGACATTCATGGGGCAGCTGTTGGCTGTGAGGTGGGTAGACTCTGTTGTCAGTTTGGTTTGGGTGTTTAATCTCTACACTCGTAAAGAGCTCCTTTATTTCACCCCTCACTTGTTAAACAAGGATTATTCTCAGTATACATTTTAAAAACCAACTCACGCATCAAATAGCCAAACAGCCAAGTGATCAAACTGTGCAAAACTGACCCACAGTTCTAGTGTGGCAGAAAGATATCCTCCCAATCAGGGTCTAAGTGAATGAAGTAATAAAGAAGACAAGAAGCACAACCAGCATCTTATAACCATCAGGCACGGACCTTTTAATCCTAACAGTGTAAGCAAGAACAAAGAGGGGGGGGAGATGGAGGGAGAAAGGGAGGCAGGGAGGAGGGAGAGAGAACAAATGATTCCACAAAAGCAACAATTGTTATTTCCATGGACATCACCAGACTGTCCTGAGTCTTTCCTAGCTGTGCTTTCCAACAATTGTCAACTGCAATTAACCAGTTATTTCCTCAGTTATATTTTTAACTCTAATTCACAATGAAAAGATTCTGTTTTTGTTTCTTTGATAACTCAAAGAGGAAAGGCCATGAAGGCCATGTGGGTCATCCGGTACGTGTGCCCAGCTCGGTCTGCCGCCAGTACTGTCTGAAAGACATTTCAGATGGCAGATACTGAAACAGGAAAGGCCAGAGAAAGCTGTGGATCTAGATGAGTCAGCCATGAAAGAAGAAGCTGTGTCCTCCCCATGTTAACATATTCTTTAAGAAACACTTTTGAAACAAAAGACAGATGTAGAGCCTTATAAAGTGTATCCATCAGTTGATAAAGGTGTTGGCTCAGACACTTGATAAAGATGCTGGGCCTCTGGGATGCACTGTGCACTTGGCAGTGATGGAGCCAGGCCCAGCAGAGACCACCCTGTCATTGGTGCAGAGGTCCAGCATTGGGGAGGGCCCGTTCACCCCAAGCTTGGACTAAAGAGGATTCTTCTGCTTGCAGGCTCAGCCCAGCCAGTCTTGGGCACATGTTGTCAGATTAACCTTCCTTTTAAAAATGCCATTAAAGACAAAACAAAAACACCACCTCCACTTAGTCCCAATTTCTGCAAAATGGTCCTTCCTCCCTCCCACTTTGTCCCCCATCTAGCCCCTCAGCTGACCTTCCTTGGCTTACCCCATTCCTGCCTCTGCTGCTTTAAGTCTCTTCTCAGAATGCACAACTCCTGTGTGCCACATGTCCACCCACTCTCCAAGTCCAGCCAGCCCACCTTCTAAGACAGGGCCTCACTCACCTTTCCCATCCACCATGGGGGGCTCCTTGGGTTCAAAAAGCAACAATGCTGGCAAGATTGTGGGGGAGAAGGGCTTTTCTACAACATAAGTGTAAATGGGAACTAGCACAACCACTATGGAAATAAGCACGGAGACTCTTCAGTAAACCAAAAGTGGAAATGCCATTTGACCCAGGTATACCTCTTCTTCAAAAAGTTGAAGTCATCATGTTACAGTGATATATACACACCCAGGTTTATAGCATCACAACTCACATAGCTAAATTGTGGAAGCAGCCTAGATACCATCAATAGATGAATGGATTTAAAAATGCGGTACTGTGGAAATGAGTGTGGAGATTCCTCAAAAAACTTGGACTAGTGGTTCCATTTGACCCAGCTATTCCCCTTCTTGGTATCTTCCCAAAGCAACTGAAAGCATCATACCACAGCAATAGATGCACACCCATGTTCATAGCAGGACAGTTTGTAGTAGTCAAATGTTGGAAAAAGCCCAAATGCCCATCAACTGGTGAATGGATAAAGACGTGGTTTTTTTATACAATGGAGTACTACTCTACCAAAAAGAAGGATAAACTTGAGACATTTCTAGGCAAATGGATTAACTTTGAGACCATTCTCTTAAGTGAAATAAATCGGACACGTGTAAATACTGCATTATTTCTCTGGTATGATACACTGAAAGTGTAAATAAGGATCAAAATGTATAACAGGTATTATGAAATAGGAAGAAAATATTCAAGTGGGGAGGGGACTAAGGGATGGGGGAAAGAAGAGAAAATTTAAAAAATGAGAAAAGAAGGGAAAATGGAAACAAGGCTTTTTAACTGTGGAGGGAAGGAGAGGTTGAAGAGGGTAAAGGAATGGGAAAAAAGAAGAAACAAGTTATATCACATACAGGTGTAAATTCTCTATGATGAATGTGGTCATTGTGTATGTCTAAAATGCATTAATAATTCTGATTGGAGAAAAAATGGGGTATATATAGGGAATGGAGTACTAGCCAGACATAAAGAAGGATAAACTTGAGTCATCTGTAGGAAAATAAATGGATCTTGAGATCATAATATTAAGAGAAATAAATGACACACAGACAACATAGTTTCTCTAAGACCCCAAATATAAACAAAGAACAAAGTAAAGGAGATACAGCAGGAAAGAGAAAGGTAGGCTCTGTAGGGATGGGAGGGAGGTCTACAGAAGGAGGGATGGGAAAGGAAAGTAAAAATGATCAAGGTGTGATATTACATAGGTATCAATTCTCCAAATTGAGCATAATTATTTTGTGTTGTAATCATAATCTAATTTTTTAAAAAGAAAAAAAAAGAGCAAACAAGCTCCGTAAGTGCTTATTGGGGCTTCCTTTGAGAGATTTACTAGGTAATTATCCTCAAAAGGTTCTGAGCAATTGGATAGTGAAGGCATCTGTTTGACCTTTCTAGCGAGTGGTGCCTAACAGCAGTCAACCCCAAGACCCTGCTTTACTCAGGACAAATTTCTAAATGCTTTTAGAACCCACTCAAGTATATACTAATTTAAACCTCATCTATTTTCAGAAATCATTTTTGAACACTCCAACCCTTTCACTCACTTCTCTACACTGAGTACAAAATCATTGTTTGCACTTCTGTGTTAATATTCATCATGGCTAGCTCTCTTCTATGTAGGTATGCCAAAATAATACCCATAGTAATTATAATGAACATCTTTCACTTCCCAGGAACCGTACCAGATGTGTTAACAATATGGCCTCAGTTTTCTTAATTCATCAGCACCCTTGGTAAGTAAGTGGTATTATTCCCACTTAACCAATAAAAAGGGAGAAAATCAAAAAAAATCAGGGTTTAGGCTACACAGCTAGCAAGTCATGAACTTGCAGTTCACTTCTGAGTCTGCACGTAACCCAGCATCCTACTGTTTTAGTTACTTTCTCATCACTGAGGCACAACACCTATTATCCACAATTTAAAAGAGTAAGTGTTTATTTTGGCTCAAAGTTTAAAGACCTTCCAGTCCACAGTCACCTGGCTCCAAGGCGGGGCAGCATGGACGAGGGGCATGGCAGAGGAGAATTGCTCATGGCATGGCAGCCAGGAAGCAGACAGAAGGATCAAGGGAGGCAGGAAGAAGATGGACCCTTCCAGGCCACATCCCTAATGACTCATCTCCTTCAACCAGGCTTCACTTCCCAAAGACTGCTTAGATATAAACTCATCAGTGAACTAATCCGCCAATAAATATGTATCATGTACCCATGTTACAATCACCTCCCCTACGCCCCACCTATGAGTGCATGAGGCTTTAGGAGGACATCTAGATTTAAATCATAACAGCAACTATGCCAAACTTTTTTCAGTAGTCTATACATTCAACTTAATCAATCACTCCTTGAGAATCAGGGATGATCTCAGATTTATCAGTAGCTGGTATCTGGTTAGTCTTAATATGTATTTATTGATGGATTAGCTGCTAAAATTATTTCAGCAATAGAACAAAAACTTTATACAGGTTCATGAGCCTTGTAAAATCATTGCACACTCTTATTTTCACTGTTGTTTCAATTTTCAAAAAATTTTACTAGAGAACACTCCGTATCTTCTAATTCTGAGGAAAATATCTAACTCCTTCAGGGCATTTGAGCCATTTACCACTTACAACATAATTAATAAAGGACAGATATCTTGGGTAAAAACAATTTTGAGTGTTCCTATAGCCTTCTCTCTAACGCCAAGTTTGGCTGATGTGCCACAATCCAGGGAGCATGAAATATGCTCAATGTAGACTGGAGCATTGCTGATAAATACCCTCCACCTTCCTTTCTGAGAACCAGTAAGCTTATTAGTAAAAGCCCGCATAATGGAGTGGGCATACTGGGTGATACAGAGTAATAACCAGAAGCCAGATTCCTGCACTAGGTGTCTAGTTTGAAATGCTAGTTGTCACCTTCAAACTGTGTGAACTTACATGTGTCCAAACTTCTTACTTAACTTTCCCCATATGTAAAGTGGGAATAATAATACTATTATCCATTGGGTTGGTGTGCATAGTAAATAAGGTAATTCATGTCAAACATTTTCAAAGAATGTCTGATGTGTAGTAAACATGCAAAAATTGCTGGATATTTTCATTCTATTCATGAGCTAAATGGAGCTCTTGCTTGATCATTCCCATGACTAGTTTTACATAGTAAGAATAATAAAGAGCTAAATAGTATTGAATGTCTGCTATGTTCCAAACAACATCCTATGCATTTTCTAGATTTCTTTTTTCATTCATCTCTTCTCACAACCCTGAGGTAATTACTTTCTATTCTTATTTCACAGATGAGAAAACTGAAAGCCAATGTGGTTCAATAATTTTTCCAGGACCATTTCAAGAAGCAGTGGGGCTGAATCTAAAGCAAGCTGTCTCCATGCAGAGCCCGTGCTTACCATCATGACTTTGTCTCATGCACACACAGACACTTACCAGTTATAACAACACTACTGTGGTCATGCCTTTGCTCTTGACTTTCCTCTGTCTGCTGAGCCTACTTATTCTGTTCCCTCCCACCAAGATTTCTGAGTGAGCTTGCCTCATGCCCATTCCACCTGGAAGTCTTATCTCTGAACTGCACTTTGCACTCAGAGATACAACGCATCATGGGGATCTTCCACGTTTCCACATGGCTCCAACTGTATGCAAAAACCAAGGTGGAATCATACATCAAGAATTAGTGAGCTCACCAGTTAATATAACATCATATTTTAGTTTCCATTTGGGTCTAAGCTGTCACAGAATTTAGAGAAACATTTTTCCTAATCGTTACTGGAGAGATCAGTATAGTTATTGTGAATTATTTAAATCACGGTTATGCTTTAACACATGAGCACAGTAATTTTTCTATGCTGAACTTTTTTCTCCATATTTTGGTAGTGTAATAAGACCCGTGTGTCCTTCACATTCATCTTTACTCTGGGTTGGTTTCATTTTAACCTATAAACTTGGTCTTCTATCTGTGGTAAAAGAAAAAGAGCAAAGTTATATGCAATGGCTACTTTTTAAAATAAAAGAAAAATGAGGGTTAAGGAAAGGACTTCAAAGTTAATTTACCAAAATCCAGCTACAATCTTGACCCTTGAAGACCCCAATAAGGCATTAATTACAAACGGATTAACACTTTCTCCATTGTAACAATGGAGTCCTCTGTCAATGGAAAGTGATAACAATATTTGCATTTATCCATTAGCGTGGGATTCATAGATTATAAGGAAGGTCTTGACATTTTTCCTAAATGAAGCTACGCATCTCCAATAAGGGGACAAAGCCGCTTTCACAGTCGAAAAAGAACTGAACAAGTTTAAAGCCAACAGTTTCTTGCTTAGTGCTCTGCCCCGAGATAGTAAGAGTGCTGTGAATGTGTAGACTGGCAGTATTTATCCTGCTGGCAAAGAGCTGGCTATGCTGCATCAGCAACTGATTCCAATGATACTGTACAAAATAAACTATTTTCTTATTCTTCTGCTCCATATCCTCAGCTTTCCCCTTTTCTGCTGCCCACTCGGATGACTGTCAAATTTCAGAGTGGATGCAATGGCTCAGCGAGAGAGACATAAATAAACACTATTCCTTCTCTGAATGATTCAACATGTTGTACCCATGTTGGGCTAGAGAATACCATTAGCATGGTAAATTTTAGTTATAAACATTTAGAGTTATTTTTTTCTTAACTAAATTCTAACACCAACTCTACTATCTCTGCCTCGAAGTAGGATGCTGTACTTTTTGTGGAATAGCATGACTCTTTGAAAAATGTGGTAAATATAAGGATGCTAGGGCCAGGGAAACGGAAAAAAATGATTTGTGAATAGTACACACCCTCAGTGGAATTTTTCTTACTCTTTCAAGTTTGTCCTCCCATCTAGGTCAAGTCAGTAATGCTGCCAAAATCTTTAAGGAATCCTTTCACATGCTGATAACCTTGAAAGATGAATAGAAGACTATCTAAGAACTTTCCTTAAAGGCTCATTTTTAACCATGAAAAAGAATATTTGATTGAAAATAAAGCAGAGTGGTCAAAAGTGGCAAATTTTACCACAGGGCTGTCAGTCTTTGAGCTAGCACCTTACCCTTGCTCAGGCCACCTGAAATGTGCGTGCAGAGGACACACAAAGGGGCATGGAGGATGCATTTATAGGTGTGGTGAGGCAAGCAGAGTACTGATTGCCTCCCGTGGTCATCATCTTAAGTTACATCTGTGTCTGTACCACACCACATTGCAGAAGAGATCCTGCTCATGTTACTAAGGTTACTAATCTGTTCACCCCGGATTGATCAAAGGAAAGATAATCTGGGAGAGTCTCGGCTAATCATGTGAGACTTTCTAAAGCAGAGTTTTTACCAGCTGGTATCAGAAGAGGAAGTCAGAGAGGCTCAACATGCAGAAATCCCCTATGGCTGAGATGGAGGGGGCATGTGGCCAGGACCTGAGTGTGACCCTAGGAACTAAGAGGGCTCCCATGGCCCACAGCAAAGAAAACAAGAACTTCCCTCTCACAACTCCAAGAACCTGAACTGTGCCAACAATCTGAATGAGATGTAAGACAGTCTCTCCATAACCTGCAGTGTAATCTATCTCCCCCCTTGATTTTGGTCATTGTGAGATCTTATGTAGCAAACCCAGACATACCCAGATATTTGACACATAAAACTATGACATAATAAGTACTGTTTTTAGCTGTCAAGTGGTGGTGACTTGTTACACAGCAATAGGAAATGAATTCACTTAGTATGCCCTGAGAACTGGTCCCCAAACTTTCTCCACTATGTTCCTGCCCCAAATTCCCTTTCCACCCAAGTTGTATTCATGGGTTCCTAAAGATATCTTTTGCTTTTTCCCATTCAGTCTTCACACACATGCTTTTTTTTTCCTCCTTAAACTCCATTTTCTGTTTCACTAAGGCCTCTGAAACCAACTTGTAATCACTAGAAGGAAAGAGGCCTAACACGCCTGCAATGCTCTCCAAAATCAAGTGCTCTTCACCTGTGAAATTCATTAACAATTAATCATGTCCCACTTTTTGGTACCTTTTCTCATGAGGTTTATCTGCTTATATTATTACTACTTATTTCTTCTTAATTAGTGAAGTTCTTGAAGGCAAAGGCTCTGAAGTTTATGCCCTGCTCCACATAATATATACATTTCACATCATAGACACCCAATAAATATTTGTTCATTTGTTTTGTTCTAAAGAATTTTTCTTCAATGCTAATGAGATTAAATGGACACCAAAAGTCTGAAGAAAATCTCATTAGCCCAGAAGTGGGAATCTCAGCAGTGACCTGCCCCACATTCCACTTGGCCTTTAACTATCCTGAACCCGCCACACACTTAAACTGTCAAAATTAAAAATGTAACTGCGAAAACAAGATAATCACAGAAAATAATTTTTGCCAATTGATTTGTGTGACTTTCAATGACATTGTAAGTACCCAACTATTCCCTGAACTGCCAGTTTGTGTAGAAAGGGATGCTCTCTCTGAAGACCAGGTTTGCAATGAACACAGTGTTTGAATGAATGCGCAGGAGAGGAGGTCAGAAGAAAATAAAAAGTTTTGGGCTGAATGTTATTAACAACTAAAAAATGATTAGTGAAATAGGCAAGAGGTAGTAAAAGCCTGAAGTTACCAGTGGTGTTGCAGGCCATGTAGATTTGACATAATCCCTTGAAATACAAATAGGACTTAAAGTCCCAGCTAACACATTTACTAAACTAAATGAATGCATTTCAAAGTTTTTTGGGGGAAACAGTAAGAATGCAATTTGGAAAATTAATGGAAGTCAACCTCTCCACAGTTGAATGCCTGCTCTCTGAAGTTATGATCCAACCCCATAGCAACATGTTGTTCCCTAAAGGTCTGAAAATTAAACTTGCATCTTAAAAATAGCTCCAGCTACTTTTCTTTGTTTCTCAAAGGAAAATGTAAAATCAAAATCAATTTTACATGTATTTTATGTGCTCTCAAATAGATATAATATCACAGCACCAGAGGGTGGCTGAATCTGACAGGCTATTTTGTTTATTCTACATTAGGCAGGCCCACACTTAATCCTTTCTTGATAGGAAAATCTCTATCATTTTAAAGACTTTCCAAGAAAGATTTCTTAGACTCACTTGAACTCACTAAGATAGTTAATAACTTTCCTTATTATCTAGCCTAAATCCTTCACATCATCCTTAGAACTCGTTTCTGCCCCTGTGACATTCACTAGAGGCAGGTAGGGAGAAAATTTATCACTGTCTTTCATGTAAGAAACGCTCATATATTGATTATAATTACAGAATCAGCTCTGCAGTCTCCTAATGAAATATTCCAAAGCTATCGTGGTTCTGTGCTAAGTTTCCCACAACTTCTTCCCGCTCTTATCTACAAACCTCAAAACTGGCTTTCAGTTTCTATTGCAGATTTAATTCCCCGATGCAGAAGTCATGGGTAGTTTTTGTATATCATAACTTGGGTGTCTATTCAGGGCCCAAATGCAGGAATATAGACTGAAATAAGACATCCTAGGCCTTTTTACTCTTACAAATAATTTTATAAAGATAATTTGGTCAAAATAAGAATTGAGGGAAGCTATAAAATATGGAAATAAATTACAGAAAGATTGCCCATATAGAAAAAATGGTTGAAAGTAAATATGCCGCAATGTTATAGAAGTTATCTTGCATAATGATAGGCCTATGGGCATTTATGCTTTGTCCTTCCTAATACTTTCCTACATTTTTCCAGACACCTTGTTGTGTGCAGGTATTAATTTCAATGAGAAAAGAATATGTGAGTAGGGCATTACTAAAAGGAGAAAGTAGGTACTGTCTACAAGAGTCACATGGCAAGGAAGACAGGTGACACTGTCACAGTTTGCTGTGAATTGCCCCTAGGTTGAGCATTCAGAACTATGCATTCTACAAAGCCCTCAGATCCAAGCAAACCTGTATGGTAGCCCATCATAGAAGCAGATCATGCAAGAGGATATCTTAGATGCAGCCTATGGGCATCTTGAAAGTGGGGATAGTATCCAAGTCATTTTGTTGCCCAGCTGGAAACCACTCACACCTTCTTCAAAGAAGTCTAAAGTTTGGAGACCTAAATGTATGGAAAATAAATGATAACTCCATGTCCTAATCATCCTTTTTTTTCTCATATACAGAGACACTGTCAATTCAGGTCAAGGTATGAGACCCTTGTAGACTCAATCAGAGAAAAAACTTCCAGGTTTGTTTTTACTGTTTGTTTGTTTTCTAATCACAAGAACTCAGAAATCCCAGGGTCTCAGCCTTGAGAACAACCATCAAGAGATAGCCTGCTCATCTCTGATCAGCTCATGAGCTCCAGTACCTTAAATCAGCTCCCACTTGTTGAGCCAGCTCTGAGCAAAGCTGTGCAGCAGGCACACAGCGTTAGCTTCTGCTGTCTTCACCTGGTCAGAACCAGCCTTCCTCCTCAGGAGCCCAGTGACTGTCATGAGGCCTTTACCATGCTGAGCTCACCTCACCAAAAGTGTTTCCGAAAGTGCTTTGCAGAAATTACTAACCCACAGGCAACAGTATAAGGGCATTTGAGAACAAGGGCTCACAGGAGGCACACAAAGCTCAAATAAGTAGGTTTACCTAGGTCCAAGGCTCCACTTACCCTCTGGATGGAAGTAATGATCATAGCTACCTCATAGGTCATACAGGTACCATACCTAGAACATGCTATAGACGTAGCACACATGGGAGCTGCTACAGTTGTGTATGTGTGTCTACACAGATAAATAGTCTTCTACAATACAAAGCCAGCCTCAATCATTTGTTACAAATTACTGCACATTCTGGGGCCAGACTAAGCTAAATATCAGTATGCAACATGAATACAATATGACTTATTACCTTTATGCTGTTAAAATTCAAAACACATGAGTCCAAAGGTATAAGTTAAAATAACTTTGTAACCCTAAAGCCAAGAGATAAACAACTTTTAGGATTTATATCCTAGAAACTTATAAACTCTATGTGTAAAATATTTATATATTCTTAGGGTTATACACAGTACTTTGTAATCTGATTTTTTCACTTAAAAATATAGCATGAACTCACTTTTAAATTAAGTACAACATTTTAAGTGACTGCATAGTATTCTATCATACACAAATATGTATACACATTTTTTTCTAAACCTCTACTTTAATAGTTTCCAACTGAGTTATACTGACTACCTCTTCAATAGGAACTGAAAGA